CACACACTTACATTATTCTTATGGAGAAATTAAATTCACTTAACATCGTTTTGCTTAAAGTAGCATTTTTCAGGAACATAACTACAATGTTAAGTGAGGAGTTCCTGTATTGAAAATTACCTTCCACTGAAGTTTAATCCAGTTTTCAATTAGATAAGAGTATTTTACATAGACGGGGCAAAGCAAGCAGTTTTTTAAATCTAGATTTGGTTTAGCTCAGCTTTTAACTTTAGGTCATAGAAAGGCTAGGGTTTAGGGTTAGATTCAAGAGTGCTGTTCTCACAGATTTCTGCCCAAATAGATGGAAATCTTGTGAAATCAACTGTTCCTGTGAAATGTTAACACTCCTGGACTGAAATCTCATGAGAAAAACCTGTCTGTGTGAGATTTTCATCACATTTGAAACAAAATAAAAACAAAATAGGCCTTGGTCACATTTTGATTCTGACGTGGGACTAAAACTGTAGGGCTAGCTTTGGATTCATGGAGGGGATGAGGGGGTGTGTCAAATATGAATGGCTCTTTAAATGGAATTTGAAGGTTTGGGGATTTGAGGTTTTATTACTAGCCTATCGCTGCTTTTATTAACGGTATAAGTGTCACCGCACAAAGAGACCTAAAAGTGCACCTGTACCTCTCAATCAATAATAGACAAATGCGCTGCAACAGCAGTTACCTTGCAAAATAAGTATAACTAGGTCATTTGGGGCCTGGCTTTTAAAGACAGCCATGCATGATTGCATGTGCCCAGTTGCCTTGCCCATCTGCCTAACTGTACAAACAAAGTACTGTTTGTGCACAGAGGTGTCCATCTAAGTGGAAAACGTGCATGCTGAATTCTGCTATTTTTATGTTTCAGTGCACAGCCCATTGTTGAAAATCATGCCCTACAGTTCCATCCAAATGACATCTGCTTAAAACTGGCTGAGACTTTCTTTTACTATAACTGCATGAAGATTAAAAAGTTGCATAAGTAATAAATGACTGTTTAGATGTCAGATGATACACCAGCAGGGCTATTCTTAGCTTCTGTTAACATTAACAGCAATTGCAACCACAGTCACAAAGTGAACTCCTGCTGAAATTGTAGATGACAATAGACCATGTTTCACATTAAGGGGGGTGATTTATTACAAATTTCTATTGCAAGTTTTCCATGTATAGTGTAGATTTATAAAATGTATGTTGAACCCTTGCAAGCTTTATCCAAGGTGCGCCTTCTAATGGCTCAGTAGTGCACACATCTCTCATGCTAGCCCCTGGATGTTCTATTCACCCAGAAGGTCATCTGAGCCCTTAAGCAATGTGGTCACCAAGGAAAAATAAGAGCAACCCCCCAGCATGTAATCTATGAGTCATCGTTGAAGAGACCTTTGAAACATTGGCATGGATGGTGCATAAATAACAGCTGTTGAGAAGACTCTTTTGTGGTAAGTAATGCAGGTTTAATATGAATATTTATTCTGCTAGTTAATAAAAATATTACCATAGAAACAGTTATAATGCAAGGTACTTACACTTCCCCTGGACCCAGTGCACTTAATTAAAAATATACACTTGCCAATAATTAACGTGAACTTTTGTATAGTGTTTGAAAAGGAAAATGCTATTGACTAATAACCCAAAATATTTTTCTTGCAGTTTTAATTATAATGTTCTGAGACAAGGACAGGGACTGCTTGTTGAAAGGGCTGTGTGCCGATTATTTTCTTGTTTGTTTTTTCCCTTCTTAGCAATCAAATTTCGATGAAAAGAAAAACAGGGTATGAGAGATTAAAGGCCTGGCCCCCTCCTCAGGGGAACAGTGCCTTCAAGCCCAATCCTGCTTCCACTGAAGCCAATGGAAAAATCCCACTGACTTTAATGGGAGCAGAATCAGATCCTCTTATTTTGATAGGACTGTTTGTGTGAGTAAGGGCTGCCAGCTAGGGCCTTATATTTGGAGGTGGGATTGCGAATGTGTTTGTATGCATGTAAGTAAGCAATGCTTTTCTAGCTGCTATTGATGCACTATAGAGCTGCAAGTGGTAACTATGAATATTTGATAGGGTGTTGCCCAATGGACATATAAGCGAAGGGCTGCACTGTCCCAGTGGCAGGACATGAATCAGACTGTGGGCAAGGTCTGCACTTAATAGGCTGCATTGGTGCAGCTGCGCTGTGCTGCTTAAGTGAAGATGCTCCTACGCTGATGGGAGAGCTTCTCCTGTTGGCATACTTAGGGCTAGTCTACACTAGAATCACTGCAGCGGCACAGCTGTACCAATGTAGCTGTAGTGCTGCTAGTGCAGACGCTCTATCCTGATGGAGAGAACTCTCCCATCAGCAAAATTACTCCGCCTCCCCAAGCGGCGGTAGCTATGTCAGTGAGAGAGCTTCTCCCACCGACCTAGCGCTGTCCTCACTAGCGCTTACTTCGGTGTAACTTACGTCACTCAGGAGGGTGGCTAGTCTGTGCAAGCCCTATTCCACCGCCCTGAGAGGTGGTAGCTATGGGCTAGTCTTCACTTACCGGCTGGTCCGGAGGCACGCAATCGATGTTCTGGGATCGGTTTATCGCGTCTGGTTAAGACGCGATAAATCGATCCCGGATCGATCCCGGAAGTGCCCACAATCGGCGCCGGTACTCCAGCTCTACGGCCTTGGCTACACTTACCGGCAAGTTCGACGGCTGGAAATCGAACTTCTGGGTTCGACTTATCGCGTCTAGTCTGGACGCGATAAGTCGAACCCGGAAGTGCTCGCCGTCGACTGCGGTACTCCAGCTCGCCGAGAGGAGTACCGCGGAGTCGACGGGGGAGCCTGCCTGCCGAGTGTGGACCAAGGTAAGTTTGAACTAATTCGCAA